TAACATATATTTCCTGCACCTTCGCGTTTCGAAGTAAATTCTTATACATTTAAAGAGGTTGAGGAAAATAAGACTAAATAAGGGCAAAAACGAAAAAATAATCAACGTCTCCGGAAAGGCTTGTTTTCGAACATGGCACCATTAATTGATGTGAATAACATACATTTCTCGCACAATCGCGTTTCGAAACCAATTCGTATACATTTTAAAGAAGTCGAATAAAATAAGAGTAAATAGGGGCAAAAACAAAAATATAATCAACGTCTCCGAAAAGGCTTGTTTTCGAACACGGCACCATTATTTGATGTGAATAACATATATTTCTCGCACCATCGCGTTTCGAAGCAAAATCTTATACATATAAAGAAGTCGAGGAAAATAAGAGTAATAGAATAGGGGCAAAAACGAAAAAAAAAAGTTCAACAAAATTGAAAAAAACAAAATTATTTTTTTTTTTAAAAAACAAGCCTTTCTGGAGACGTTAATTATTTTTTCGTTTTTGCCCCTATTTACTCTTATTTTCCTCGACTTCTTTAAATGTATACGAATTTTCTTCGAAACGGGATGGTGCGAGAAATATATGTTATCCACATCATATAATGGTGTCGTGTTCGAAAACAAGTCTTTCCAGAGACGAATAACATATATTTAATAACATATATTTTTTTTTCTTGTTTTTGAACACGACAACATTATTTGATGTGAATAACATATATTTCTTACACATTCGCGTTTCGAAGTAAATTCTTATACATTTAAAGAAGTCGAGGAAAATAAGAGTAAATAGGGGCAACAACGAAAATTTAATCAACGTCTCCGAAAAGGCTTGTTTTCGAACACGACACAATTATTAGATGTAGATTACATATATTTCATGCACTTTCGCGTTTCGAAGTAAATTCTTATATATTTAAAGAAGTCAAGGAAAATAAGACTAAATAGGGGCAAAAACGAAAAAAATAATCAACGTCTCCGGAAAGGCTTGTTTTCGAACATGGCACCATTAATTGATGTGAATAACATACATTTCTCGCACCATCGCGTTTCGAAACCAATTCGTATGCACTTTAAAGAAGTCGAATAAAATAAGAATAAATAGGAGCAAAAACAAAAATATAATCAACGTCTCCGAAAAGGCTTGTTTTCGAACACGGCACCATTATTTGATGTGAATAACATATATTTCTCGCACCATCGCGTTTCGAAGCAAAATCTTATACATAGAAATAAGTCGAGGAAAATAAGAGTAATAGAATAGGGGCAAAAAGGAAAGAAAAATCAACGTCTCCAGAAAGACTTGTTTCGAACACGACACCATTATATGATGTGGATAACATATATTTCTCGCACCATCCCGTTTCGAAGCAAATTCGTATACATTTAAAGAAGTCGAGTAAAATAAGAGTAAATAGGGGCAAAAAAGAAAAAAATAATTAACGTCTCTCGAAAGGCTTGTTTTTGAACACGACAACATTATTTGATGTGAATAACATATATTTCTTACACCTTCGCGTTTCGAAGTAAATTCTTATACATTTAAAGAAGTCGAGGAAAATAAGAGTAAATAGGGGCAAAAAAGAAAAAATAATCAACGTCTCTGAAAAGGCTTGTTTTCGAACACGGCACCATTATTTGATGTGAATAACATATATTTCTGGCACCATCGCGTTTCAAAGCAAAATATTATACATAGAAAGAAGTCGAGAAAAATAAGATTAATAGAATAGGGGCAAAAACGAAAAAATAATCAACGTCTCCGGAAAGACTTATTTTCGAACACGACACCATTATATGATGTGGATAACATATGTAATATCCCATTCAGTTAAGTATCAGTTATCTTCAAAACCAAGAGATTTTGAGGGTAAATAAGTTTAGAAATTAAAGTTTTTAAGCCACACGGGTCGTGTCACAAGTGACACGGGTCGTGTGGAGTCACACGGGTCGTGTCACAAGTGACACGGGTCGTGTGGCTCAAGATGTTATTAAAGTTTTGCTTCGGCTTTGTGACACGAGTCGTGTCACTAAGTGACACGGGTCGTGTGAGGTCACACGAGTCGTGTCACTAGGTGACACGGGTCGTGTTGCCGACAAAAATGCAGATTTCTAAGATTTTACATTTAATGCCAACCAATATGATTTTTTAGCTATTAATTATGTTAGCTGATAATGTGAATTGTTAGGTGAGGATTTATTTAAGTTGATTAAATTTTAGAAGTTTAAATTGTTTAATTTGTTAATTTCTACACTCCAAATAAATTATTCCAAAATTTTGGCTATAAACAGGGGCCTTTAGAATCTAAAATTTCACACCAAAAATATTTCCAAGTGATATAAGTTCTTAAAGGAGGTAATTCACTTATGTGAAAATTTATGCTCATTTTAAGTTCATGATCATTTCGATTTCATGTTAAATAAGTTGTTAGTATGCATGTTTAAGTGTTATGATTGTCATGTTGAGTTCAAGTTGTTATATGCTTTAATGATATAAGGATTATGTAGTATGATTTTAATTATAATGGAGATTTTGATATAATTTGAAGTTAGTATGTAAATTGATGTCATGATATTAAAATGAGAAATGATTAAGTGGCATATATGATGTTAAAGTTTTTAAGAGATGTTGATATGAAATGTTCATGATGAGTAAGTTGATAAAAGTATAAATTTATGATAAGTTTAGTTTAATATGTTAAGAATGCATATTTCATAAATTGTTTTTAGTTTTGGTGTTATGATTTAAAGTTAAGTTTTATGAGTAATACCAATTAAGAAAAGTTTAGTAAGTTACAATTCATGAGGATGATGTTGGTAAAAGATAAGTATATTTGAGTTTATGTATAATTTGAGTTATCTTTAAGCTAATATCTAAGTTTTATCAAGTATGATTAATATGAGTTATGGCATTGAAAAGATTTAAAGTTATTCAATGAATTTATTTGAGATATAGCATGTTTATAATTCGGATAAGTTATAAGTTAACAGTTAAAGTTAAGAATCTCAGTATCTTATTGAATATTCGAGCATAGTACTTAGTATATTTGTTTATATTTTTATGAAGCGTTACAAGTCGGCTACGAGAACAACACTTACAAACAGTTTTTCAAGAAGAAAGGTGGGAACCCAGACTGGGTATTACATTGAGTATAATAGCTATTATCATGTTCGAGGTATGTATAAAGTTAAGTAAAGTATTAAGCTCGCTCAGTCAAGACTGGGTTCTGTGGGAGGCGACCCCCAGAATGTGATCACGTGAGAACCGGCCCAAGTTACCGGTAGTTGCAAAGTTCAAGTTAAAGTATCGGTTAGATACCGAAAGATTAAGCTTAGATACATACCAAAGATCATGATATTGATATTATTATTGTTGTTTACTTTAGTATGGGTTTTCACGGAGTACAGTTGATTAGTACTCACGCCCCACTATTATCATTTTTTTTCCAGGAAATAAAGACGGTGCGTAGGTGTGAGGAGCTGTGGTGGTCGTGGATGTGAATAAGTTTCTATTGAGAATTTTCAATAAGGTTTCGGTTTGTAAACCACGCTTGTAAGATATTCCGCTACGTTTCTTTAAGATTTGAAAAAAAAAAGTGTGATTTTAAGTGTGATTTTAAAGGTTGATTTATCAAGTTGATTGTATGAACTGTTAAGTTTTTATATTTGTTCAATGTTTAAAATCTGTTTTATTTATGTCTAATTTAGTTGGTAGATGAAGTTTTTTAAAGTAGATAAGTTAGTAGCATCCCGAATTAAGAAGGTTTCGAAAAATTTATAAGTATTTTCAAAATAAGTTGCGAAAAATTTACTCTGATGAGCGGGGTGTTACAGTTGGTATCGGAGCTAAAGTTCAAATGCTCTGTATACTAAAAGATTAAGTTTTGGAAAGAAAGTTTCAAGAAAACCGACCACACCACACTCACACCTTGCCAATTATCAGGTAAGTGTTGTTAAAATTTTCTTTATTATGAATTTTAAATATATGCAAATTACTAAGTCTATGCTCGATAAGATATCCGAATTTTATGAATCAGATTATATGCTCAACATATATATAAGTATATATATATTTTCTTAGTGTATTAAAAATTTATCTTTTATGATAAATTTTAGATGGCACCCCAAGCTCGAAAAGAGATGACAACATCAGAAGTCGTTACTCAATTTCGTGGATACAATCCTGAGAAATTCTCAGGACAAGGAGATCCTCGTCTAGTGGAGGAGTGGATTCAGGGTCTAGAAACTATTTTTGAGATCACTGAATGCACAGAAAGGCAGCGTATTATTTGTGCTCAACTGCAAATGACTGGAGATGCTCGGCTATGGTGGAACTCCTACTGGGGCATGCGTCCTGGGGAGAAAGAAAATCTCACTTGCATGCAATTCAAGGAGATGATGGAAGAGAAATACTATCCAGCTCACTATCGGGCTGAGATGGAACGTCAATTCTTGTCATTATCCCAAGGAAATCGTACAGTTGATGAGTATGAGAGAGAGTTTACTAGATTGGGATCTTTTGTCAAATATCTAGTGGACACAGAGGCTAAAAAGGCAAGACGATTCCAAGATGGGTTACAACGAGAAATCCGTCATCATGTAGCTGGACACTGTATTCAGACTTATGCTGATATAGTGGCCAAGGCTCAAGAAGTAGACGCAAGTTTCCGGAGGGGCGATGGCCAAATTCAGGTGCAACCAATTGCTCAAATTCCAGCTCAATCACCAGTGCAGCCCACGCCTGTCCAACAGGCTAAAGATAAGAACAAGAGGAAGTGGAAAGGTCCCCAGAATAATAACAAGCAGAAGCAGCAAGCTAATCGACCACAATTTCCAGCTTGTGGCAAATGTGGGCGTAGTCATCCAGGAGAATGTTTAGCAGGGCAGAATATTTGCTTTTTCTGTAGGAAGCCTTGTCATAATCTAAAGGAATGTCCAGATAGGCAACAACAGAGGAATCAGGGGCAGCCTCAGCAGCAGAGGGCAGGACCTCAAGCTCAAGTGTATGCTGTGGAGCAAGTTCAGGCAGAACAGAACCCAGGTACTATGTCTGGGATGATTATTCTGAACGATATTCCTATTTTTGCATTGTTTGATACGGGAGCGACGCATTCGTTCGTGTCAAAACGATGTATAGAAATCATAGGAGCTAAATTCATTAACACTGTTGACCCTCTTGAGGTAAGCTTAGCCTCAGGACGGAAAATAGTGACGAGTTCTAAGGCATATAACCTTAGACTCAATATTGGAGGACGAATTTTGGAGGTCGGCGCGTACGCCATCGAGATGAGGGATTTTGACCTCATACTCGGTATGGATTGGCTAACACGTTACGGTGCTGATATTCGTTGTCATGACCGAGAGGTAATTCTTTATCTTTCGGAGGAGGATCAAATTTCTTTTTACGGCTCGAAGATGCGAACGTTGCCTCGGGTGATTTCTATGGCGAAGGCAAGGAAGATTATAAGACGGGAGGATTGTCAAGGATATTTGGTGAGCATTGTTGACGAAAATTCGAGAGCACAAACACCTCATGATGTTCCAATTGTTCGTGAGTTTGTGGATGTGTTCCCGGACCAACTACCAGGAAGACCACCCAACAGGCAAGTGGAGTTCACAATCGATCTTGTTCCTGGAGCAGCGCCTGTGTCAAAGGCACCATATCGGATGGCACCAAAAGAATTGCAAGAGTTAAAAACTCAAATTCAAGAGTTGTTGAAACTTGGTTTCATTAGACCAAGTGTTTCGCCTTGGGGAGCACCTGTATTGTTTGTCAAGAAGAAGGATGGTTCCATGAGGATGTGTATCGATTATCGGGATTTAAACCGGTTAACGATAAAGAATAAATATCCGCTCCCAAGGATAGATGATTTGTTTGATCAGTTGAGAGGAGCTTGCGTATTTTCAAAGATAGATTTACGCTCAGGCTATCATCAACTAAAGATTAAGGAATCTGATATAGCTAAAACTGCGTTTCGGACAAGATACGGTCACTACGAGTTTGTAGTGATGCCGTTTGGGGTAAGTAATGCACCAGCGGTATTCATGGATTTGATGAACCGTGTTTTCCACAAGTATATAGATCAATTTGTCATCGTTTTCATTGATGATATTTTGGTCTATTCTAAGTGTCAAGAAGAGCATGAGCAACATCTAAGGGTTGTTCTCAGTACCCTTAGAAAGGAGAAGTTGTATGCCAAATTCTCTAAGTGTGAGTTTTGGCTGAAGAAAGTGGCATTCTTAGGCCATATTATCAGTGAGAAAGGTGTAGAAGGGGATCCAGCAAAGATTGCTGCAATTCAGAATTGGTCAGTACCGAAGAATCCATTAGAAGTTCGAAGTTTTCTCGGATTAGCAAGTTATTATCGTAGATTTATCGAAGGGTTTTCAAAGATTGCTCTTCCTTTGACAAATTTAACGAAAAAATCTGAGAAGTTCGAGTGGTCCGATCGTTGTGAGAAGAGTTTTCAAGAGCTTAAGAAGAAGCTTACATCAACACCATATTGATTATTCCTGATCCTACTAGAAGTTTTACTATTTATAGTGATGCTTCGAAAAGGGGTCTTGGATGTGTACTCATGCAAGATGGTCAAGTTGTTGCATATGCGTCGCGACAATTAAAACCGCATGAGCAGAATTATCCAACTCATGATTTAGAGTTGGCAGCAGTAGTGCACGCACTTAATATTTGGAGGCATTATCTCTATGGTGGCCAGTGTGAAATATTCACTGATCACAAGAGTTTGCAATATATATTCACTCAGAAGGAGCTCAATATGCGCCAAAGAAGATGGTTGGTGCTTGTGAAGGATTATGATTGCACTATCCAATATCATCCGGGAAAGGCGAATGTGGTAGCAGATGCTTTAAGTCGTAAAGTGAAGGGTGGATTGGCATGTTGTATCACTCAGCAGAATCAACTTATTAAAGAGTTTGCTCGGATGCAGATTGAAGTTGTCAGGACACTTCCTAAGGAGGTTACTGGAAGGGTTAACTCAATGAGAGTTCAGCCCATGCTGAGAGAAAGAATTCGGAAGGAGCAATCTTTTGATCAATTTGTTCGGAAGATGGAAGAAAAAGTTCAAGCTGGAGGAGTAGAAGGATTTTACCAAGGTTCCGATGGAGCATTGGAGTTCAGAGGAAGGATTGTTGTGCCAAAAGTCGAGGCCTTGCGGAAGGAGATCTTGACTGAAGCACATAGTGCACCATATTTAGCTCACCCTGGAAGCACCAAAATGTATCATGACTTGAAGAAGTCGTTTTGGTGGAAAGGGATGAAGAGAGATGCAGCAGATTTTGTGAAGAAGTGTTTGGTCTGTCAGCAAGTTAAGGCCGAGCACCGGAGTCCATTAGGCCTGTTGCAACCAATAGAGATTCCTAAATGGAAGTGGGAAGAAGTTACCATGGATTTTGTTACAGGGCTACCTAAGTCATCAGAACAACATGACGCGATTTGGGTAGTAGTAGACAGGTTGACGAAAGTCGCTCGATTTATGTCTGTATCAATGACTATGTCGATGGACAAGCTAGCAGAAATTTATACTCGTGGAATTATTCGACTTCATGGAGTGCCTGTCACAATCATATCTGATCGAGATCCCAGATTCACTAGTAATTTTTGGGGAAGTTTGCATGAAGCAATGGGTTCGCAGTTGAGTTTCAGTTCGGCTTATCATCCAGAGACAGATGGCCAGTCAGAAAGGACGATCCAGACACTTGAAGATATGCTCAGAGCTTGTATTCTGGATAGAGGTTCCAAATGGGAGAAGTGGTTGCCGTTAGTGGAATTTCCCTACAACAACAGCTATCATTCATCAATTAGAATGGCTCCCTATGAAGCACTTTATGGCCGAAAGTGTCGTTCACCTCTTTATTGGGACGATGTTGGAGAGAAGCAAGTACTTGGCCCAAAGATGATTGAAGAAACTATTGAGCAAGTAGCCTGGATTCGAGAAAGACTCAAGACTGCTCAAAGTCGACAGAAGTCTTCAGCAGATAAGCATAGGCGAGAAATGCAATTTGAGGTGGGAGATAAAGTCTTCTTGAAAGTTCGACCTATGAGAGGGGTTATTCGTTTTGGGAAGAAAGGAAAGTTGCATCCTCTCTATATAGGTCCGTTTGAAGTTCTTGAACGGGTTGGAGAAGTATCTTATCGATTAGCTTTACCTCCTGAGTTGGCAAGCGTGCATAATGTTTTTCATGTATCGATGCTGCGTCCATATGTGTGCGATCCAGATCATGTGTTGCAGCACAATGAGATACAAATTAAACCAGATTTGACTTATGAGGAGAAGCCGGTAGCAGTTTTGGACGGAAAGGTTCATAGACTCCGAAAGCGAGATGTTCCACTTGTTCGTATCAAGTGGAATCGACATGGAGAATCAGATGCCACTTGGGAACGAGAAGCAGATATTAGAGCTCGATTTCCAGACTTCAAGTTTTGATGATCTCAGTAAGTTTCTATTTCTTTATTAGTATTTCCGAGGGCGGAAATTGTTTAAGGGGTGTAGATTGTAATATTCTATTCAGTTAAGTATCAGTTATCTTCAAAACCAAGATATTATGAGGGTAAATAAGTTTAGAAATTAAAGTTTTTAAGCCACATGGGTCGTGTCACAAGTGACACGGGTCGTGTGGAGTCACACGGGTCGTGTCACAAGTGACACGGGTCGTGTGGCTCAAGATGTTATTAAAGTTTTGCTTCGGCTTTGTGACACGAGCCGAGTCACTAAGTGACACGGGTCGTGTGAGGTCACACGAGTCGTGTCACTAGGTGACACGGGTCGTGTTGCCGACAAAAATGCAGATTTCTGAGATTTTACATTTAATGCCAACCAATATGATTTTTTAGCTATTAATTATGTTAGCTGATAATGTGAATTGTTATGTGAGGATTTATTTAAGTTGATTAAATTTTAGAAGTTTAAATTGTTTAATTTGTTAATTTCTACACTCCAAATAAATTATTCTAAAATTTTGGCTATAAATAGGGGCCTTTAGAATCTGAAATTTCACACCAAAAATATTTCCAAGTTATATAAGTTCTTAAAGAGTGATAATTATAGTGGAGATAAGAATTTTAGAAGTGGAAGATATAACTTTTAAGTGCAAGTCCTTGAAGGAGGTAATTCACTTATGTGAAAATTTATGCTCATATTAAGTTCATGATCATTTTGATTTCATGTTAAATAAGTTGTTAGTATGCATGTTTAAGTGTTATGATTGTCATGTTGAGTTCAAGTTGTTATATGCTTTAATGATATAAGGATTATTTGTAATATCCCGTTAATTTCAGTATAAATTATATTTTTAGTTCCGATATTATTTTTCGGAATTAATTATTTTCAGTCTTTTCAGTCGAGAATACCGAAAATTATTTTCGACGTACCGTTTATGTTCGAAATAATTTTGGTAATTAAGTGTTATGCTTAATTAATTAATTAAGCTTTAATTGAAATTAATCACCATTAGCCTTATGTAATGTGTTCGGATTTTTCCCTATTTAGTCTCTAAAAGCCGTGCATTATATAAGTAAGTGTTGGGATTTTTTTTTTTTAAATTCTCCTTCCATATAAAGCCGTACCATTTAGTGGGAGTTTGAAATGAATTGGTCCAATTTTTCTTCATTATTAAGCATAATAATGTGGCATCATTTTGAGATTATATGATGCTTAGTCATTTAAGTATTATCTAAGCTCCCTACAAGTGTCCTTATGTGGCTAAAACACATGAGTCCATCATCATTTTTCCTTTCGGTGGATGTGTATATAAGGATGGGTTGGAGGAATTTTTCCCACCATTTTCCCTACATATGTTCATTATAAGCCATTTCCCTCATATATGCTTATTATAAGCTTAAGCCATCATACTTATATAAGTTCAATTTAAGTATTCAAATACCGAGAGAATTAGTGAGTTGTGGGAAATCCTAAGTGTTATTCGTATGTGATTGCCGAGAGTACCGCAAGCACCGTAACCTATCGCCGAGCCGTCGCACGTCCGAGCCGTCGCGCCGTACCGCAAGCAGTTCGCGTATCGTAGGCTATCGCAAGCAGCAATCGTCGCACGCGTAGCTGAAGTCCTTCACGGCAGTCAGCACATCACTCATCGGTCAGGTGTACGCGAGCATTTTCGAGTGTTGTAGTGGTCCGTCGCCGCACCGCAAGCCACCGCACGGCGTCGCACACGCGCGGAGGGTCACGGCCGAGTACGGGAGTTCAACACGATTAGTCACTTGAGCTTACTAAGAGGTAACTCCCGACGGTTGTTGACCGAGATTAGCATGTTTGTTAAGATTAAATTTTAATTTGACATGCATGCGTGTGATGTGTGGTTCAAGCCGTAGCCGTGCCGGTCATGTTATGTTCTAAGTTAAAAGCTCCGAACTATTCTCGCATATTTAGCTTTTATATGCCAAATCATGTTTAGTTTAACTTAAATGTTCGGATGATAAGTCATGTTTGCGGTGTTACGGCCAAAGGTGACGTGGTTGCGCACGTAGCGCACCACGGGCCATATTTGCTTGCTTAGGATGTTAAGTTCGTTATTCTCGAGCATTTTCATGTGAATTATTCAGTAGGTTATTAATCATGTTCAGTAAAGTTTGAATTTCCGAGGATATTTGAGATTCGGTCGTAAGACGGCACAACGCCGTCGGCGTCGCCCGGTGCGTCCGCCGTGGCCAAAGTTTAATCCTTTGCGTTAATCTTCATGTTTGCAGTGTAAATATGTTCATGTGTTCATGTCATGTTATTTGAGATCAGTTTGTTCGGAAGTTGTTGCCGGACGGCCGGCAAGGGCCGGCCGTGGCCGCGCT